GGGATGGTTGTCTTGAATGGCTGTCAGACGCCGCGTTGGTGGTTTTGAATGCTTGTTAGTCGCCGCGTTGGCTGTCTTGAATGCCTGTCAGACGCCGGGATGGTTGTCTTGAATGGCTGTCAGACGCCGCGTTGGTGGTTTTGAATGCTTGTTAGTCGCCGCGTTGGCTGTCTTGAATGCCTGTCAGACGCCGGGATGGTTGTCTTGAATGGCTGTCAGACGCCGCGTTGGTGGTTTTGAATGCTTGTTAGTCGCCGCGTTGGCTGTCTTGAATGCCTGTCAGACGCCGGGATGGTTGTCTTGAATGGCTGTCAGACGCCGCGTTGGTGGTTTTGAATGCTTGTTAGTCGCCGCGTTGGCTGTCTTGAATGCCTGTCAGACGCCGGGATGGTTGTCTTGAATGGCTGTCAGACGCCGCGTTGGTGGTTTTGAATGCTTGTTAGTCGCCGCGTTGGCTGTCTTGAATGCCTGTCAGACGCCGGGATGGTTGTCTTGAATGGCTGTCAGACGCCGCGTTGGTTGTCCTAAATGCCTAATAGACGCCTGGATGGTTCTCTTGAAAGGCTGTCGGACGCCACGTTGGTTGTCTCCAAGGGCTGTCGAACGCCGGAATGGTTGTCTTGAGAATGCCTGTCAGACGCTGGGATGGTTGTCTTGAAGGGTAATAAAACTATCAGACGCCAGACGGAGGTTCTTGAGTCATTGATGGATTTTAGAAAGAGATTGTTCTGATGTTTATTTGGTTCCACATTAAGTTCTGTTAGACAGATTAGTTTTCTGTCTTGTTGTGATAATTGAAGTTCGCTTCTTAAGAGAATATTTAATATTGTCATTAAGAAGTTTCAAAGTACTGAGATCTCTTAAATCTGAATTTCGAAATAACCAAAATTTGTAAATTGATTACTGATGATGATTAATAAAGATTATGTTGAGATTTCGCCTATCATTGGTCAGGTTGGCCGAGCGAGTGGACGCATTTACTGTGTGAACTTTTTGTTATAGGTACCTCACACGAGGACGTGTGAGATGTCAGGACGGCCGTGTCGGAACCTTGCATCATGACGTCAGTTAATCAATTAGTGTGACCAGTTTATTTGATTATTATTCTTCCAAATAATTTGTAGCGGAAACGTCAAGTACTACACTTGGGTAAGGTCGATTCACGTGGCAACACTGGTTGTATGATTACCGATTGACACATGACGTTTGACCTTTAAAACGTCAGTTTCGGGCATTCGAGTTGGAAGCGCAAGCGTCAACGGTCGTTGCCACGTGCTATCGAACTTGCCGCGTTTTCCGTCTTGATAATCCGTCTGTATCTGTACCATCCGTTGTTATTTTGAATCTTAAATTAAATCTAAAGACTAATAAGGTGTTTTACTGTGTCTACATAATTGTATTTACGGACAATTAACGATGGCTGACCCGTCTGATAACGAGGCGACCCATCAGGTCCCGATATATATAACAATTTGTAAGAATTTGTTTTTAAGTTACAAAAAAAAATATTTCAACTTATTACCTTATATGGCACTAAAACATTATCAAATACATATTACAATAACCACAATTACATACCAATTTAATATTGCACTCCAATACTTATCATTTTATTATTATACATGAGATCATTAACACTACACCAAATACAAACAACTACATAAAGTTACAGAAAATTCGTAAACCCGTGATATAAATAAACCTATGGAATATTGTTAAATAGTTAGTAATTTAGTTATTATCAGTCTTGTGTACATATTATGTATATTTATCATTCATGTATTCGTTCAGGGTGTAATAAGCCTTTTCAACCAATATATTTTTTATTTTATTAATGATTTTTTTGTCACTGATCTCGGCTTTTAATGATTCAGGTATCTTGTTAAAGATTTTTATTGCCATTACATTATGTGCTATTTGAATGTAGTGCAATACGAGATGTCGGTAGCATTAACATATTTTTATGTCTAACGGCACGATCAGTGTTTTTGTCACCACGCTTTATGAGCAACCCGTTATATTTCCTGACCAATTTACACACCTCCAAGATATACATGCAAGGGAGAGCTAATATTTGCTTGCAGCTATTAGTCCTGTTCAATGTTCGTAACTTACGAACATACGAACGAAAAGTGCAGGTGCGTCCGTACTGTTACCCCATGATAATACCATAGCTGAACCACGAGTGTGCGTATGCGTAATAAGTGATTAGTGATGTATGGAGATCAGTAGTCCTCGTTACTTCTCGAAATGCATAACAAAGTTTTGAGATTTTGGTTTTTATATTTTGGATGTGGGTTTTCCAAGATACATGTGTGTCAATAGTAAGTCCCAATAGCGTAAGAGAACTTTCGACATAAATGCTAGTCCCGTTTATTGTGGAGTTCACGGATAGTGGAGGTTTTTGGTATGGGTGGAATGTCATAAGTTTGTTTTATTTTGTACTTTATTTCTAGATTGTGTTTATCCATCCATTGTATTGTTTCATTTAATATAAAGTCTAGTTTTTCATTTAAGTTGGTGTTATCGTTGCAGGAGGTAAGAAGAGAAATATCGTCTGCGAACAGTACACACGGCTCATCCATGATTTTTGGGAGGTCATTGATGTATATCAAAAATAATAGACATCCAATGACACTGCCTTGGGGAATCGATGCGTTTATACTCGACTTCATGTCCGATCTAGCGTTTGTTATTTGTTTTGTATTGAAATTAAAATTTTGAATTTCCACGTACTGTTCCCTGTTTTTTAACATGTGCAGTTCCACGTATTCCAATCCCGTATAATTTATCTAATAAAATGTTAAATTGCACTTTGTCATATGCTTTTGTCATGTCTAGAAGAATTCCTACGACGTACCTTTTATTATTGAGAATATTCAATACTTCTTGTATGTATCTATAGACAGCCAGAGTTGTAGATCGATGCTTACGAAACCCATTCTGACTGTCGTTAAAGACGTTGTATCTTTCACAAAAGCTGTAAACCCTAACACACATTGCTTTTTCAAAAACTTTTAAAAATGTCGGTAGAAGCGAAATGGGCCTGTAATTATTAGGATCGGTCTTTGATTTTTTTTTAAACATTGGCTTTATGGTGGCTTTTTTAAGGAACCTGGAATATATTCCTTCGTCAGACGACTGGTTTATCAGCACGCAAAGGGATACAGCAAGTACCTTAGCACAGACTCTTATCAAGGAAGGGGGTAGCTATCTATACCGTGACTATTCTTATTTTTTAGGGTCTGAATTATTCTACGTGTTTCCTGAATATCTATTGGTCTAAGGTAAAAATTATTCATCAAATTCATCATCGTCAACAGCTGTTGCAGCAACAGCAGCTCGTTAAGCCGACGGTGAACTATTGGGTCTCCGCTAGGCAGTGGCGTGCAGTCCATATAGGCAAAAAGGCTTTGCCTACCTTACAAATACCGTGAATAACACTACGTAATAAAAGATATAAACATTTTAATTTTACTACAGAATACTAAAATAATAATTATAATAAAATTAGTGAACGCCTAAAATAAATAGTATAGCAACAATGATGGCGCGCGATACGTGTTGCATTTCGCCAGGCGTACCGTATATAGCGGTAAACATTAACGCGCGAGGCAGGCACGCGGTTCCGTCGCCTGCAAACCATTCATAAATTTAAGCGTGTAGTGGTGAACGTCATTGTGTGCGTAGTGCACAGACGCGTTTATTTTAACGTCGCGAAGCTTGCCTGCAGGCACGGCCTGACGACTCGTGATTGAGTTCGCCGCGTGCCGACCAATCACGTTCCGTGTCTTGGTTTACTCATTGGTCGCCTCGCAGCGAACTTCACGCCGCTCGCGCGTGACAATTTTTTTGTTTTTGTTTACGTGCGATGCGTGGATTTTCGGATAATTTTGTTATTTGATTTAGAATACGATTAGTAATTCTACGCAAATAATTTGTAGTAAACGGTATAAAATTGTCTATTTATATAAGTACATTTTATTACTGTGTTTGTTTATTTGTTAATTGATTTTGCAAAGTTATACGAAGAACTGTGAAGTTTGTATTGACAAAAGTTGGTAAAGAATTATAAACTATCGCAGACCATCGCTTAGTGATTAGATTGTGTGTGAGTTTTTCTTCTGATAGTCTTGTCTTGGTAAGTTCTATGAAAGTTACTTTATTTTAATGTGATTAGGTTATGTAACATAAGTAGGTACCTACGCGGAGCTTCCCGTCGCGGCAACTCAGTCAGTAAAAATAACGAAGCTTTAAGTAATATGTTATGTACTAATTATAAAATGAAATGAAGAAGAATAAGCTAGGTAAATGAATGTTTAATAATACTAAAAAATGTACTACCGCTTACTCGGCTCGGTCGCAGCCGGCCGCGCTCGGTTCGATTTTTCTATTAGTCATACCCAAGTTCTTAAAATCATAATATCTCTTGAATAGATGAACCAAACTTATTAATTCGAAGAATTAAATTAAAATAGTAAAGAATTCGTAATATTCTTGTATTAAACGTGAGAAGGCTGGACAGGCCGCCAGTTCAGTACAATTTTTAGAATGAACAATTCGTTACTGCTACTGAATTGATAACATAAATTAGATTAATCGTTATACAGCATCTCGAGTAGGTAATTATACAGATTAGTTTTACAAATCTAAAGAGAAAAATAGAATATTAATGTTTTTAAGTTGTTAGAGTAATCAATAAGTTGATGTAATACTTCACGAAAACAACGAGAGATGGCACCGTTACAAAGAATTGACGAAAGATTAAAAACCTCATAAGTTGAATTATGTTATGTATTTACGATGAGTTTAATCATAATACAATATTATGTTGCCTACCCTGTTCTAAAACCCTGTGCACGCCACTGCCGCTAGGTAAGAAGGTTTGTCATTATCTTTACATCTGAAATGTATTGAATTTAAATATGGTCAAAATAAAACCCTCAGTTTAAATTCAAATAAATAATGTATAGTATAAAAAAATTATAAAAAAATGTTGTGATTTTGTTTTTTTGATCCTAAATCTTGAGTACCTTTTAATTTTTATAAAATCAGATCTTAAAATTATATTGAGACAATACAGTTAAAAACGCAGTCATGACCACTATATGTATTGGCTGTGCCAGCGCATGCGTGGCGGCGCTGCAGGCGTGTCTGCCGGGGCCGATGCAGGCGGCGTACGCCATGAGGTGCGGCAGCTGGCTCTGCTCGTACAGCCCCGTGAACATGGAGTGGTGCGGCCCGCGCGCAAACACCGCCACATCGTCTCCACCGTGCGTCTCTTCTTCCAGTGGAACGTCTACGTGGGCTCGCCACTCTAATCCTCCTATAAACCAATGCATGATAGTGAATATTGAATGAGGTAAAAGATAGATGCATAAAAATATTTTTTTTAAATGTTGGCTTCTGGCACTAAATATAGCTACACATTTGCAAAATTAAAATAGAGAGAACTTACGGTAACTGCTCTCAGCGGTGACATTAGGGCGCACGCCGTTCACATGTGCACGGAAGCCGGGCCCGTTAGTGTAAGAGAGCGTCATGTAAGGCACTCCTTTTTCGTCCAAGTCTCTGGAAGGGCCAAGGATGTCATGTCCACGTCTCGAGTACCCATTGAAAGCCATGACGTGGGCGTGGTCCGCTGTGACCACAATCAGCGAGTCGTCCTCAGAGAGCAGCTCGGCGGCGCGTTCCACAGCCTTGTCCATCTCCAGCGTCTCGTCCAGCGCTAGCTCTACGAAGTTGTCGTGGTGTCCGTGGTCGATGCGTCCGCCTTCTACGAACAGGAAGAAGCCCTTCTCGTTTCTACTCAGAGACCGGATTGCTATCTCAGTTAGCTCCGCAAGCGTTGGGTCTGTCGTAAGATTAGACTGCATGTGATAGTTGAGGTGATTGTCTCCAAACAAGCCCAACAGATACTCTGGCGGCGAAGACAGCGACTCAATGAGTTGTGCTCGGGTATTTATATATCGATGATCAAGGTTTCTTGAAACTTTGTCGTTCTGCCATTCCTCAATCAAGTTGCGGCCATCAGTTCTGGTTCCCAGTGATGATGTCGGAATGAATTCACGCCGCCCACCTCCTAATATGACCTGGTAAATTTAAATTCATCATCAGTCGTCCTAACACTAGTATGTACTAACTAAAGGGTTGACTATTTCGTCAGAAAATTAACAATGTGGTAGTTCTGTCAAGCTTCTAACGTTTCCCGATGACAGCGATGCAGATGCATGCAATGATGCTTGTACTAGATGTTTTTGTGCTTAAGTTTAGTTTTACAGTCTTATATAATTGTATGAATATGTTTTAACCATATGCAACTAAATAATATACAACTGAGAAAGCACCAAACATAGATACCTACATAGAGGTAATGTTGATACCTATGTTCTTTACTTTGCAATAGGTAAATACTGACATCAATTGCCTTATTACCAATAAACCAAAGTTCTAAATAATATTAAGTGTATTGAGCCGCACTGTATGGGGGTGGTAATGGGGTACTGACTTTGAATTGGTTGCCGGGGCGCATGTGCACGAGTTGGTGCGCGATGTCTGGGCAGCGCGCGGGGTCGGCGCCGTCCTCTCTGACCTTGGCATCATTCTCCCAGTGCCGGTTGGCCACCTTGGCGTACACGCCGGCAGGGGACGCGTGAGTGATGCGCGTCGTCGTCACGATTCCTGTTCGATACACCTATATGTAGCTACGTAAGCCATTCCCACTGACACTAACTGATTTATTTATAGCATCAGCAAGTGTACTAGCAATCTATACTATATTAAAGATGCACAACTTTATTAAAATAAGTGTATATAAGTCAATGCTCTTACTTCGAGAATCAAGAATAATTAACATTCTGATTTAATTAGTTGTGTCGGTCCTTGAGTCAACGAAACTAAACAGGCGTTTTGATTACAAAATATACGGCAGCAGAACGGAGTCCGACTCTGTGAGTAGAGTATGGTGTATGCTAGAAGTTACCGGCGTCGCGGCCGTCTGCGAGGGCCCACTCGGCGATGGACTGCACGTGCTGCGAGGAGTCGGTGGAGGCGTCGCAGTCCCAGCGCGGCACGGCGGCGGTCAGCCCAAGCGTGCCCTGGTTGGCCTTCACGCCACACAAGTACGCGGTCGCAGAGCACGAAGAGTCCGCCACTTGAGAATTGACGCAGTATGTCTACAAAATAATTCATACTAATATTATTAAAGTAAAAGTCAGTGTGCCTGTTTATTTGTCCGTCTTTCGCCGCTTAATAAAGCGACGAATTAATGTGATTGTTTTAGTGGAGATAGTTAAAGGGATAGACAGTGCGGTATAGGTTATTTTTTTCTCTATTTCAATTTCTCCATTTCCCTAAAATGGGGGCTTGAAAGCTTGTATGGAGCATTTTGCAATTTTGAAGCTAGAAACGAGAAATAGGTATGCGGACTATTTGCGACTAACAATAATACTGTGCATCAGTTTTGTTTAGCAAAATGTTCCAGTGTACTAAAAAAAAAGAAACATCGAATTCTGACTTCTATACATCAGTGGGTGGTAGGCAGTACATGAATAATAGTTATTTTGTGCGTTAAGTTTATGGCTTTTGAAGTATTTTTTTTTAAGTAGTTTTGTTTGGTCGGATTCTCCTTTTCCATCTTTTTACATTCAGCACAGATTATTTATGAGTAGGTATATTATTTATGATTATAAATATTATTCTTATTTAAAACAAAACATATATCTGATTTTTTAAACTTGAACCAGAAGTCTACATTTATTTACTTACTTTGACTAAACCCGAAGTGGGAAACTTCTCAAAAGCGAGTTGTGCCTCCTCGCCGGTGTGTCCGCGGCGCTGGCCGAGCAGCGTCCGCGCGGCCGCGAGCGTGGGCACGGACATGCCGTCGCCCAGGAACATGACCACGTTGCGCGCTTTCTTGACGCTCTCCTTGTGCGCCAGCCGGGCATTGATCGCTGCCTGCGCCTCGGCATACCAGTAGCTGGCCTCGGTCTCGCGAGCTCGCACCGGGAGTTCAGCCACAGAGTCCCGGCTAGCGGGGTGGTAGCGGTCGGCGGGCGGCACGCCGGCGGCCGCGGCGCTCGTCAGCGGTACCAGCACTAGCAACAGGAGGAGCATGGCGAGACGTTCGATGGGCCGAGTATGACTGCTGCTGTTGTTGTAGTGCTTTTATCGCCTTTATTTACTAGCACTTATCTTATCTGAATCTCATGTTATTATAGCGACATGCTTGCTGGGCATGGCTTTTTTGTTACATTTGTGTGACAAGTGTCGACCGGGTGTTGTGACGTCACACGACGTGATCACTTGGAAACTTTGACCGTTACCGATACCAGTAGTTAAGTGCTTAATTAATAAATTACAATGCGTAGTTTGTGTTCGTACTTATTTTATATATTTATTTCTACTTCACACAAAATTACAGTGAATGGCAGACTTAATGCCTCAAGTCAACCGATGGTTGACTGTCAGAGAACTGAAGTGCAGAGAAATGAAGCGGTCGATGCGAAGTCAGAATACACATGTAAAGTTTACAAGCGAATAAACACCGATAGAAAATCCCAACAAACAACTGTCGGGCAGAAAGCCCGCCAGGCACGATCACCTCGCCTGGTCGGAGGATCCCCCTTTACCGATATTAGGGAACGTCCACTCTGTTCCCTAAACACTTTTAAAATTATAAACGTATTTCTTATCTGAGTAGTCAGTTAGGAAATTTCCGGCCTCATCTAGGATTATTTTAAATGTTGATTAAATTATATATCGGTCGGTCGAGTCGAGGTTGGGTCAGTGTATCTTAGGCTACATATTACCCTATCATTTACGGGGCAGGAGCTGTGAATCTTTATTTCTGTTACGCATTTTGCGACAGCGTGTAATATAATGACGCATATTTAAATGTTGTTTTAGGTAAACCAGGGTATTTACTCTAAAAACTATGATTTTAAAGAAAACATACAAATTCCAGTTAACTGAATAAATTTTACCAAATTGCCACTTGGAAAACGTGGTGTTACTCTTCAACGGCAAAGTCACACAACAACTATATTAATAACGAAATCTCAATAAGGAACTTTAGACTTGGCACGACTTTGTTATATTTCATTACTTTTTAGATATAAACTAGCAGCTCCATTGCGACTTGGCTAGTTTTTTACAGAACGTTTTTGTTGGGATATAGATATACACAGAGAGAGTGAGACCGGAACATCTAACGCCCTGGCTATTCTTGGTTATCAAAGAAAAGAAAGGACCACTTAAACACCTCTCAAATGATGATAACCGAGAACGATACAAAAACCTATCGCGTGAAGTTCAACGTCACTGTCGGTAACATAAAAATAAGTAGGTAACTACTATAACAACAATTTAACTGAAATTGAAGATTATGCCCAGAATATGCAGTCCAGGGATTTGTTCATGTAAATAAAATTAGTAACGCGAGAGTTTAAAGCTGAAAGAACCTCGGCTGTGGAGGACACAAATGGAAGAATTATGAAAATTTAATAACTAACATAGTTGGGATGTTCAACCGATAGAGAGAGTTCAGCAGCATCGGATGGCCCTCAAAATAACTTGAATGGCAAACCCTTAGAACTTGTGATTTTGAAGCCGAAGAAATCACCCGCCATTGATGCTATATATGCCTAAAACCTGAAGCAAATAATAATAATTCTGGAGTAAACTTTCTGCAGAATCTACGCAATCAGATATGGAGGACTGGTAACTGGCCTACGGAGTGGAGGGAATCCCACTGATCCCACTATACATATTACAAGGGATTTACAAAGTCCTGCGGAATCTACAGAACCATAGCGCTATTTTCTAATGATAGTCAAGTTCATATTAAAGCATTTCTGCAGTGGCAAATTCCTGTGGAACAGGCAGGTTTCGTGAAGATACGAGGCACTAAAGAGGAGATCGCAAACATCAGGCAAATTATAAAAAAGTCGCGAATTCAACAGATTTCTATGATTAAAGTAGTTGACAGTTCGGGGACACACACTCGCTCATATGAACTCCAAGATCTGGTTCCGTGATGACAACAGTAATAGGGAGAATTAGGGAGACCGGTAAAATTCTGACACTCTGTGTCATTTAAATCACTGTAGCTATTTAATTGAAATTCGGTTCAAAAATGATTTGCTACACGGGAAAGAAGATGGAATAGTTTTAATCACTGAAACCTGACGAGAAGGATACTGTACACGTTAAACCCCAGTGGGACTGTTTAGTTTTTGAAACCACCAAATCATAAATATAACCACTTAGGTTAAAGTACATTTATTACCGTATTACCATGACAAAGACTAATTCAAATGCCCAAATTTTGCCAAAAGTCATTATTTTATTAGTATTGGAATAAAATACTGAACATATGCATAAAAATAATTTATTTATTTACATGGTTATCTAGAACCGGTACAAGTAGATGATTCAGATATATAAGTCAGATTACAAATCATTTTACTCCAAAGGAAGCTAACAGAATAAAGAGAGTGAGTAGCAGGACTGGCTGTGCCAGCGCATGCGTGGCGGCGCTGCAGGCGTGTCTGCCGGGGCCGATGCAGGCGGCGTACGCCATGAGGTGCGGCAGCTGGCTCTGCTCGTACAGCCCCGTGAACATGGAGTGGTGCGGCCCGCGCGCAAACACCACTACTTCGTCTCCACCGTGAGTTTCATAACTCAGCGGTACGTCAACAGGTGAATGCCAGTTTACCGTACCTGCGTAAAACACCACATTGGTGAACAAAATAATAATGATATAAAACGAGTACAAATAAATCAATATTTAGTTTTACCATAATTTTCTTCATCGGTCACATTGGGTCGGCCATCGTTGACATGATGACGAAAGCCTGGTCCATTGGTGTATGATAGTGTCATGTAAGGCATGCCATCCCATGTGTAATTTGCATAAAACACTGAAGTGCCCAAGATGTCATTTCCACGTGGTGCATAACCATTGTAAGCCAAGACGTGGGAGTGATCCGCTGTAACCACAATAAGCGAGTCTTCCTCAGAGAGCAGTTCGGCGGCGCGTTTCACAGCCTTGTCCATCTCCAGCGTCTCGTCCAGCGCCAGCTCTACGAAGTTGTCGTGGTGCGCGTGGTCGATGCGACCACCTTCCACGAACAAGAAGAAGCCCTTCTCGTTTCTACTTAGAGATCGGATTGCCACCTCAGTCATTTCAGCCAGTGTAGGCTCTGTTGTTTGGTTAGCTAGCATATTATATTGCATATGACCACTCTCGAACAAGCCCAACATGTATTCTGGCAAATCGTTTTTAGCACGCATTAATTGCTCACGATGCCAAATGTATTCGTGTTTAATATTACGGTCCACTTTATCCTGCTGCCATTCTTGGATCAAATTCCGGTTATCAGTTCGGCTGCCAAACGTTTGTTCATCATCGCGGATAGAGTTGGGCAAAAAGTTCGCTCTACCTCCACCAAAAATAACCTGAGAAAAATAACAACCAACATGAAGAAGTTTAATCGGCTAGTAAACGCATTATTAACCGGTTTTGATTTTGGGCGTAATCTTTGGTCAAGGAAGTACATTTTGTGTAACTTGGTACTAATGACACTGAAAAGAACTAACTGTTAGTAGATTTACCTTCTACAGATTACTTGTGGCTCCCTGTAGCGGGAGCAAACTAACTGAGCTGTGGTGTTTGTAATCAGCAGAGTGTCTAGAAAGGCTAACCTTTAGTTTGTTTCCAGGGTGGTTGTGTATGAGCTGGTGAGCAATGTCGGGGCAGCGGTCGGTGTCGAAGCCGGCTTTCTTAACGTCTGCATCGCTTTCCCAATACCGATCAGCAGTCTTAGCATACGCGCCAGCAGGAGATGCATGTGTAATTCGCGTTGTTGTCACGATACCTGTGAGTCATTACCGTAGAGTATTAGACTAATAGATATCAGGTTGAGTAGCATAGCAAGTGTGTACTAAAAATAATGCAAGTAGGCAGTCACCGGTGTCTCGTCCGTCCGCCAGAGCCCAGTCGACGATAGACTGCAAGTGCGTGCTCTTGTCCACCGAGGCCTCGCAGTCAGTTCGCGGAACAGCTGCGTTCACGCCAAGGACACCGTAATTCGTTTTCACTCCGCACAAGTATGCAGTGGCACTACAGGCGGAGTCAGCTACCTGAGCGTCCACGCAGTACGTCTACAACATACGACAGCAATGTTTCATACATTGTATTTTGAGTTCAACGATGTCAATTTCACAATATTTTGTATATTTGTACGTCAATGATTTAATTTTTTCTGTTATGATTTGCGTGATTGTGTTTTTTTTTTCCGATAGGGTATACTTTAAAACTGATACTGTCGTCACTTGGACAGCATCTTTTCATGAAATCCCAGGAAAAACGAGATAAGCCCTCACTATATAAGCACATCATCATCAACAGCCTATAAATGCCCACTGCTGAGCAAAGCCTCTTCCCACACGGAGAAGGTTAGAGCATTAATCACCACGCTTGCTCAATGCGGGTTGGCGATTTCAAACTTATAATTAGAAATTATAAGTCCAGGTTTCCTCACGATGTTTTTCCTTCACCGTTTGTCAGTGGTGTCTAAATAATCTTAGAAAGTACATATAACTCGGAAAAAGTCACATTGGTACTTGCCGTTGGTAGGTTTCGAACCCGCACCCTCATGCATGAGAAGTGGGCGTCTTAAACCTCCGGGCCACCACGACACTATTATATAGTGTGTGCACATGTTACATTTATTCTAACAATTTTGATAAGATATTAACTCGTCGAGTACCGTCATTATAGACACAATTATAGAACAATAGGTTGCGGTCACCGGTGTCCTCGCGGTGTTTGACAGTTTAAACCATATTTATATCCTTCCTTTTTTCGTTATTTGTATATAGCAATGAACCAAAAGGTAAGATATAAAATAAACGACGTTTATAAAACCGACTTCGAAAACCATGAACTAAACCCAAAAAATAATGATTCTTCATTTGATTGTACTCAGTACCTACACAAGACCCACTGAAAGTTAAGAAGTCGGTGCCTATAACAAAATATTACTTACCGGTACACCTGGGTACACCTACCTAAGAGGGCACCGACTTCATAACTTTCTGTGGGTAGATACTCAGTACAATAAGTAATGATTACTTTTTGAGGTTTTAGTTTA